AGGTCTGCAAAGTTTCAAAGATCAAAGCGCATTATAAATTGACTTATTGTCTCCAGGCTGAAATGCTTTGTCAGTGATTCGTCTTACACCAATCACAACAGACTGGGCCATCTGACCAATCAGAGCAGAGTAGACCAATCGCAACAGACTGGGCCATCTGACCAATCATTTGCCATTGCAAAGGATATGAGCATATTTGGATTATTTCATAATATTGCTCTACCTCTTAGTTCCAATGGCGTCAATCTCATCGATGAAGACAATGGAGGGTGCGTGTTCCTCGGCCACCCTGAAGAGCTCGCGCACTAATTTAGGGCCGTCGCCGAGGTACTTTTGAATCAGCTCTGAACCAACAACACGCAGAAACGTTGCAGACGTCTGATTGGCCACCGCTTTGGCAAGGAGGGTTTTACCTGACAGAGGAATTATATGACAGATCAAGATTTGTGACATCACCACATGCCCATGATAATGTATCTCTTTCTGTGAACTCTGTAAACCAACAGTGGTGTTGGACTCACCAGTTCCAGGGGCGCCGTAGAGAATGACCCCTTTGGGAGGCTTTATCCCCATTTCCTCATAATACTCTGGATGGGTCAGCGGCAGCTCCACGGACTCCTGCAGGACAAAAGCAGCATAGAATCATCTTTATCTGATTAAATATCACCAAATACCTGCAGTTTCTTTTTGAACTATTATATATTTCCATCTCTAAAGACACTCAAAAATACTAAGCACTAGATTTAAGAAATCCGTTGTTTTCAAAATTACAGAATCAAATAGTCAGCTTCGATTTTCGATTCCGTAACAATCCCTAGCGAGAGAAGAAATTCAGAAATTGCATTTTTATTACTAATTTTATTGAACAGATAAATTGCCAAAAACCAGAATTCATTGTAAAGCATTATCTATTGTGAAGGGTCATATTCATCAGAAGTCACGCAGAACAGACGCACAAACAAAACAATGTTCTTCTGCAAAATGCATGCGGTTTTGTTTTTTAACCACTAGAGGGCCAAAAGTTACATAGTGTCCCTTTAATACAATTTTGTATGTTGATTTCATACTGGTCAACACATCTGGTCTTTCAATCCAAAAAAGATGTCTTTATCTTGCCTTAATTTCTTGTATCTGGGCGTCCAGTCCACCGATATCGGCGTATGTCTCTTGCGGAGCCTTCTCCACCTTCATGACTGTCACAAGAGGGTCAGTGTCGTCCATTAGCACCCCGATGACAGCATGGACCTATAAACATCATCACATTTATTAGGGTAATCTACCAATGTTAGGCATCCAGAATTAAATACAGGAAAGCATACAAACAGTTTGATTAGATAGATTTATATTAGATTTTTATTGTTTGCCAAAAAGTCCATAAAACAAAACACATTTACACAAAGCCACACACAATAATATATGAAATGTTTTCTTAGATTGTAGCTTGAATAAAGATATTTTGTCTTACTGCACTGGAGGATTTTTTCATATTTTTAAACTTGTTTGTAAAAATGAAAAAAAAAAAGTGAGACAAAATGCACTCTTATTAAAGACACATTCGCTAAAAACAAGTCTTAAAGGGATACTCCACTTTTTTGGAAATAGGCTCATTTTACAACTCCCCCAGAGTTAAATAGTTGGGTTTTACCATTTTCAAATCCATTCAGCCGATTTTCAGATTTTTAGAAGAATATCAGTAACCAGACAGTTTCTGGTCACATTGACTTCCATAGTAGGAAAAAATATATATACTATGGAAGTCAATGAGACCAGAAACTGTCTGGTTACTGATATCCTTCTAAAAATCAGAAAATCGGCTGAATGGATTCGAAAACGGTAAAACTCAACTGTTTAACTCTGGGGGAGTTGTAAAATGAGCCTACATCCAAAAAAAGTGGAGTATCCCTTTAATATCATAAGAAGTGTTGCTTCTCAAGAAAATGTATCTAGTTTCAGGTCTTAACCGATTTTTAAATGACAATTAGAGTTGTTTTCCAGTTTAAACTACACAACTTCGGAATAGTTGTTGATTATAATTGTCAATAATAAAGTTTGAAAGATTCATCCTATTTAATTCTATTCAATCCCGATTGATCTGGTGGATACGTCACCTTGTGGTTGAGTAAGACGGAACAGCCGGGCTCCAGCAGATCTTTGTCCACAAACGAGAGGATGCTGACATAATGCTCCGAGCCCACAGACGTGGAGACAATGGCATGATTGTCATCGATGATCTCCTCCAGGGTCCCCACAGACATAGGGGTCCCCCTGAGGTCATCGACCTTTGACCTCTCCTCCTAAGAAGAGAGCAAACAGAAACATCATCATCAGTACAGATCGACAAAAGTGAAAGAGGAAAAGGATGGATGGTGCACCTCCTGTTTCTCCTCTAGAGGTTTCATCTGCTCCTGGTTTCTGATGAACTCCTCTTCCATCAGCAGGTAATCTTTAATTCTCTCCTGCTTCAGGAGCTTCAGTCTGCACTGTGTGTGTGGGGTGACTATACGGAGAGACAACCGGACATTAGCTGAAAATCAACCGCAGGATAGTCCTGAGTTCAACAGCAAAGGTCACGTCTGTACCTAAAGGCAGTTTGCTGGCAGCATCAGGGCCCTTGGACTTCCTCTTCCTCTTGCCCACTCTAGATGGAATGGGCGGCTCATATTTCTTCTTCTTGTCCTGTTATGATGATAGATAAAGTCATTTACTAAGGATAAACATGCCGTTTTAAAATATTCGTGTTATTCTTATCACCTTATCATCTTTCTTTCCACCTCCTGGTCCGTGTCCTCCGCTTTGACTCTGGCCCTGTGTTGAGAAACATTCATGTCTAGAGTTCATATAGTACACTACCACTTAGGAACCGCTTAGGATGTTTTTGAAAGAAGACTGAATGTATGTGATCACAAATCAGTGATATTGTGAAAGATTATTAGAATTTAAAATAACTGCTTTTTATTATAAAGTGTGATTTATTTATGTGATCAAAGCTGATTTTTTTAGCATCATTGCTTCAGTCTTCAGTGTCACATGATCCTTGCTTTAGAAATCAAATTAATGCAGCCTGTGGTGTGCATAAGAAACATCTTTTCAAAAATATCTTCAAATAAAGATTCTTGGCTATACACTCACAACTAAATTTATTAAAAATATAATTATTATCAGAAACTGGGAATGTCACTGTCAATATAAGTCAATTATTAAAATAACTTAGATTCGAGAAATATCAAGAACTGTATGTTTTTATATAATGAAATATAAAATGATTTCTGTATGTATTTTATTTCACTTAAGTTAGATTGATTTATTGCATTATTAATAATAATAACAAATATTATTACTATTAATAATGTGTAAACTTGAGAGGTCTGACTATACGTCCTAAAATTTACTTGAGAATCACCAGTTTTATTTAATGCAGTGACATTCATATGTTGCAATACCAGTATTTTAAAAGGAATAGGTCGAAACAGAACATATAAAACTGAATGAAAAAGTTAAACAGACATCTTTAAGATGTTTTCTTTACATGTGAAATAAAGAAAAGTTACAACCCGAAACAGGAAGTGTTTCTGGACCAGTGTTGTTTACATCTTGCAAAATGGTCTGGTGAACTTATTGTTTTCGAACAGATTGCAGGAATGAATACGCAAAAATACACAATAAATAATAGGAATATCGAGAAACTTTAAAATGCATTAAGGTTTTAGGTTGCAAGCAGGTTAGTAGAGTGACTGAAACGCTTTTAATAGCAATGTTTCTTCAGAGGATGATTGTTGTGTTAATCCATCGATGTATAAAGAGGTCTTTAGCAGAGAGTTACGACGAGATTACGTTACCATTCACGCGCCCGTATACACAGCTTTCACACACTGTATTTGCACATAACAGACTTACTGTGGGGAGAAGGAAACGATTTTATGATTCGCTAAATAAACTGCTGGCTCACTCACCATTTTCACCACCGTTTGACGCTCACAATAAACGTCACTACGGATAGACTGATAGGACAAAAAATGTAAAAGACCAAAACGCGTTTGTTCATTCCCGACCATAGACTGTAAAAAAAAAAATAATAATAATAATAATAATTTTTAAAAAGTGAACTACTCCTTTAAAAAGTAACCCGATTGCGAGTTCGTGTCAACGAATGGTCAGCCGTTTTTATGGGAGTACAAGCTACAAAATAACTAAGAAATGTTGGTATTTGAGAAACATAACGACTTTTGACATTTTTTTCTGATACAGCACAGGATAAATACAAAAACAACACAATACCATACCATGCAAAAGCAGCTTTATATAACATTACATTTCCATTGTAAACGTCTGAACACAAACGCAATATGATTACTAGTTTGTTCATTCAGTCACAGACCTGTCAGAGCTGCTTCTGATCATCTTTATCTGCTACAAAAAAAAAAAAAAAATCATGTTTATATGGGTCACATAACACTCAGATATTTACCAATATGAGATTTATTTCAAAGCTGTAAATTTCATTAAGGATGTGTTGGACCTCTGTGACTTCAGGAAGACATGGTTATTTTGGTAGGGTCGGTGTAGTGTTTGGTATTGCATCAATTAAAGCATTTTATATAAAAGCACTCATACACTTTCAAATTATGTAACTCTACACAATTACAAACCACTCAATTGCTTAAGCAGTTTCACATTACCATATAATCAAATATGCTAGTTAGTGTGAAAGTATATGTAACCCCCCAACAGAGGTGCATCTCTTATCCTATTAATTGAGCTCCTCCCAAACTTTGCTAATGTAACAACATAAAATGGATGTGTGAACATGTGATAAATACAACAAGCAGCATTCAGTACAACTGCATGAACTGTAATAATTTCATAGTAGCTGATGATTGGGCTCTAAAAATCCGATATGTAACAGAAATAGTTGTTTACTGTATATAGCCAGACACGAATCACACATTTGATCAAAATCTCAGAATATGCTACATTCAGTTGGCTTCGTTGAAAACACTAATGGTTACAAAACAAGAATATGACTCGCACAAGGCCTGTTACATTAATACACCTTTTATAACCTTGAAGAGTGACAAGCTATTGAGTATTATGTTTTGAACACGTACAAAAATAACACTAGCCCAGCGGAGCCTAGTGAACCGTTCTGTTGTTTCAAACATTATGCATCTCACAGGCACAGAACAGGATACATGTCACTAACTTGTTCCAGAACAAAGACATGCTCCTTAAATCTACAAATAAAAATACTGACTCTGTATTTAATAAAAAGCATGGAAACTGTCATGTGTTCAGTATCAGCAACACCAATAAGTTGAGCTTCATTGCTCTTCTGCTTTGAACAAGGCTTTACTGGTTTATCCTAGTCATCAAGGCACACACACATACACACGCGCGCGCGCACGCGCGCACACACACACACACACACACACACACACACTTTCCTTGGCAACCAGGTGTTTGTTTAGCAGCTCTAACTTAGGAAGTGCAAACATGTGGTACATGCATGTAAGACCCGAGTCCCTCCAGCATGAACGAGCAGTCAAGGTGACAAACGGAGAACAGAGTTGAACCAGCGAAGGTTTGGTTTCCACACTGGAAACGGGGAGCAGGGGGAAGATAAGAACACTACTTATGAGTGTTTCATGGTGTATTTGCCTTTCTGGAGCTGAGAGATGTAAAGCTTTGATTTGCTGCCATCCAGACGTTTGTACCAAACCTCGTCTTGATTAACATTGATTATTGTGGCACTGGAGGAGGAAAAAAAAAAATTCAAGCATTAGACGCATGAAAGACTTGCGTAAAGTAGTTAGTGTAATGGTGCAGACCTATTTGATCTTCAAGCGGTCATTTTGCTTCCCTGTGATCAAATATTCACTTCTTCTGATTAACTTGATTAATAATGTGTTTATTTTCTAACACTTGACTTGATCTACTGATTATTTGTTATTTTTAACGCTTTATAGTGTTTTTGTTACACCTAACCCTTACTGTACGAATATCAAGAACTGTGTAATTACAAGTAGCTCGAAAAAAGGTAACATTTTTTAGTGTCCTTCTATAGTAATTACTATAATTATGCATAATTGCATGCAATTAACCCTAATCAAAAGTATTTATGTAATTACTTAGCAACATACCACTGTAAAGTGTGACCAAAGGATGAATTAATTGAAAATATATTTTTAAATAAAAAAATGTGCATAGTGGAAAATCTTAAAAATAGACAGTCTTGCTTAATTTAAATTAATTTGTTAAAATTGAACAATCTTAAAAAAAAAATAATAATTAGAGGCAATAAAAAGTATTAGGCTAATAAAATAGAATTATGTATAATATATAATAATATATACGATTTTAATGAGTCTAATCACAAAGGCTATTTGATGTGAAATACAGTCAGTAATATTGTGAACTATTATTACAATTTCAAATAGCTGTTATCTTTTTTAATATGTTTTAAAGTGTAATTTATTCCTGTGATCAAAGCTGTATTTTCGGCATCATTACTCCAGTCTTCAGTGTCACATGATCCTTCAAAAATCATTCTAATATGATGATTTATGATGCTTATAGCTTTTGTAGAAACCTTAATACATTTTTCCCCAGAATTCTTTGATGAATGGACATTTTTAGGGGTTCAAGCACGAAGTGCTGAAACCCTATTGTTTTTGTACTGATTAGGGGTTCAAGCACGAAGTGCTGAAACCCTATTGTAATTGTATTGATTTTTATTATTAGGGGTTCAAGCACGAAGTGCTGAAACCCTATTGTTTTTGTACTGATTTTTATTATTATTATTATTCTCCCCTAAAACGCATCGTGCAGCCCAAACCGTAAGGGCTAGAGCTCTGAAACTTTGTCAGATGGTAGTACAAAAATCGAGGAGAGGTTATCAAATTATGAGCCCGATTGGCCCATAGGTGGCGCTATAGCGACCAATTGCGCGAAACGGCTCATAACTCCTAGACCGTAAGTCGTACACTCAAGTGTCTTATATCATTGGAAAGCTGGTCACCTGACGAAAAAAACGTATATCTCCGATTTCATTTCCGGTATGGAAATTTTTCCGCCATTTTGAATTTTGTCGAAAAACTACTTTTGCGAACTAGTCCCTGGTTTTTTGCCCGATCGGAACCAAACCAGTGCAGAAATGTTCTCTGGAGTCTGAAGATCAATAATTATCAAAAAAATGTTGAAATTTCTATTTCCGGTCGCTAGGGGAAGCAAAATAAACGTTGTGGGAGGAGCCTATTTTACTAAATTGGCTATAACTCAAGAAGTAAATGAGATATCTTCACCAAACTCGGTACACATGTGTACGAGTTCAATTTGAGGTCACAGTAAAAAAATAGCGACGATTGAACACTAGGTGGCGCTATAACATGAAAAAAACATAAAAAGGGCTATGACCACATGACCGTTAGTCCGATTGACTTGAAAATTGGTATGCAGTGTCTTGGACCAAGGCCCCATGTATATCTATGAGGACATTGGCGTATGTAAAAAAACATGGCCGCCATCGGCCAATGAAGTTTGAGCACCTGTGAGACAAGGTTAACGGAGGCCCATCGGAACGAAACTCGATGGGCATGTTCGACTCATGGCCCTAGAGGTCTGTAAGAATTTTGAAAAAAATCGGCCACTAGTTGGCGCTAACGAGTTTTATGGCTCTGTAATCACGTGGTGTTGCGCATATCCCCACAAAATGCATATCTTTTGATAGATCTCCTCATGATGAACAACTTTGCCTCAAGAACCATTGCTGTCAATCAAATCGTTCATTAAATATTCACAAATATGTTAAAAAACCTACTTTTGCGAACTAGTCCCTGGTTTTTTGCTCGATCGGAACCAGACCAGTCTAGGACAATTCTCTGGACTCTCTAGATCAATAATTATCAAAAAAAAGTTGAACTTTGACATTTGTTTTGCTATAACAGGGTCATTTACAAAAGGGGGCGTGACAAAATGCACCCAAAAGCCTATAAATCCTAAAGGAAAACTCAGAACATCCCAAAAATTGATGAGCATATGTGTCATCACATCATTAACAAGCATGCAAAGTTTCATGGAGATCGGACTATAGGTGGCGCTATAACTGTTAAAAATGTTAAAAACAATGTAATCCCTATGGTAAATTGCCATTATTGACTGTAAATGGTGTTTTCCATCTCTGATCATATCATAATGTTAAAACCAGTGCAGTACAATTCTTTGGACTCTCTAGATCAATAATTATAAGAAAAAGTTAAACTACGTCATGTGGATGACTATAATAGGATGGCTTCAACATTTAGTGTGTTGAAGCCATCTATTACTACACTTTCAGTGTCCCTGAAAGCATTGATCTCTTCAATAAACAAGTCAGAACATGTGACATTAAATAATCATGAACATTTACAGACAGATCTGACAAAATATGCCTAAATAACAGTTAAAAAAGTGAAATGATATCAAAATGATGGTCTATTAAGCCAATAAGTGGTGTTTTACTGCCCTCTGCTGTTCAAAATAGTAATTGTCTCACCACTCAACTATAATTAATTTTATGACTTTATTAATTATCTATTTTAACATTTGCAATCACATTTGGTCAAATATTGAACACAATCATTTTTTTGTCAAAGTTTATCACTTCAGTTGTTCTGAATCTTCACATAATTGCTATTAACGTGGTAAATAGCTATACTGTATTCCTAGAATCACATTAAAATCCAATCATCCAAGCCCCAATCACTGTAAATAATGATAAATCATGCTAGAACGTGGTAAATTAATGTACACTATGGTCAGAGGTGTAGTGGTAAAAAAAAGAGGTGGGTAAACTATAAATTCTGGTGTATTATTTCGAATAATAAGACACTATGGGCTGTTACTCTAGGGGCTGATCAAATTAAATCATTTACACTGAAAAAACACAATTGCATAAAATAATGTTATGACATTTATTTAAATTTACATAAGAAACTGGGAAAGAATGATACTACTTTTAAACATTTAACACTAAACCGCCAGTAGGTGGTGGCAGGCGACCGTCTTAATGAGTGAGTCATTCAATTCATTCATTCAAACGATTCGTTCAAACGGCTGATCATTCAAGAATGAGACCTGAATGTTTTTGAATGTGTCTTTGAATCTTTGACTCAATCGATTCGTTCAAAATGCTGAATGATTCAGTAATGAAAACACGTCGAGTGTTCCTGTGACATGTGCCGTGGTTCTGCTGTGATTATTGTTTGGAACTATTTTCGCTGCTGAAACACAACAAAAACAGCCAATATAGCATCTAAAATGTAAGTGATTTAATTTTTTACTGTTTATTGAACTGTTGTAGGAAATCAATGTCACATTTTCAATCGTGATGGTGTTCAGGAAAAATAAGAGACCCCATTTACACCTGGTATTAAAATGCGATCTGTATCCAGACAAGTTATCTGGATAATAAGTACCGATTGCATTTACACCTGGCCACATACATGTGTTTTTGCAAAACGGATATAAATCCGATCTTAAACTCCTGCGTATGCAGATTTAATGGATTGAACGACACCAAAAGCAACAGATATGAGCTGCATTTCGTTGATCATCAGCTAATTTCCAAATCAAAGACATCAATAAAAGAGTGGCAACACCGCTGGTAAGATAATTTCGTTTCTTTACTTGAAGATGATTGTGTGTTAAGCGTCTGTGACTTACTTTCACTTTTATTTGCGATGTTTGCACGTTGGCTCGATGAATAGACGCTCATGAGCGGTGATGGGTGATCCGTGTCGCAGTAGCGCCGTCATATCTGACTATAACATGACATATAGCCTATATAACAAGCTTACTCGTTTATTTTTTTGCCTTTTTGGGAGGAGTAAAATATACATATGTGGTTTCAACAACCAGATTGCGTTTACACCTAGTAAAGATCCGGACACAATGCGAGCCAGACTACCTGCAGATGTGGTCAGGCAGATCCAATCGCGATCACAACGCATTTACACCTTGCATTAACATGCGTTTTTTTATTATCCGGATAACTTATCTGGATACAGATCGCATTTTAATACCAGGTGTAAATGGGGTCTGAGTGTGTTCTGCGCTCATTTGTGTAGATTTCTGCTCGAGAGGCTGCGCGAGGATCAACAGTACAACCTTACCGTCAGTAATAGTCAACAACACAGTAATGCAGCGCAATATAAGAGTTCGTCTTAGGTGCCTGTTGACTTTGGATCAATGCATTGTTTGTGTGTTGTTGCATAAGGAGATAAAGAAATAATACAATTGGTGACAGTGATCAATCAACACAAAAGGAACAATGATATAAATGAACAAAGATATGAGTACTAATCACAATAAAACAGGCTGTAAAAAAATCATTGAAACAAACAATCTTTCAACATGGCTCAGGGCACATGTCTGGCAAACAAATTAATCAATTAGCAGCGCACAGGCTGACAGTGACATTAAATCATAAAAAGGCATAAACAATGTAAACACAATCAAATTAATAGATGGACTCACGTAATTCATGAAGACACACACAGTTATGCATCAAAATGCCAGGAAAGAGTGCAAAGAATGAGCCAAAGGGTTCACAATCAATTTATAGGCAACGGGTGAGTCGTGCATGGTGAAGTGGCAGAGTCTCATTGAAAAAGCGAAATGGAGTTGAAAGAGATTAGAAAGGAAATCTTTTCAATTACTATTATGAATTATTTAATTATATCCATTATGCAATATTGGTTGGTGTTTTTCTATAAATCCAGCAATGAACATGTAACAAGAAAAGTCATTGAGAAGAAAATAACAGTCAGCCATTACCTCATGAACCATGGTTAAACCAACAACTAATAAAATACAATTGTGAACATTATGAATCCCAACACCACGGTGAAGGACGCTTAACAGACAGAATAAGTTAGGGATTACGCAAAGCCTGCGGGTTTATATTCGCTATAACAACCGCCTCGCTCTACATTACCCTGCTTATTACATTGCTACCTACCAAGTAAATCAATAATTTGACTCAAAATATAGATATAAACAGGAGTTTATTGATTTAAAAAACGATTGCCGATAAAAAAGAAAAAGTCCGTTCTGTCTCTACGTTTAGAATCCATGGCAACGCTCTGTTTTTCATGGCAACGGTGTGTTATACTTATAAGCAGCGGCCTGTTATAATAACAGACCGCACTCTACATTAGAATTCAACCAAGCCATATAAGAAACAAATAATTACCGTTACCAAGCTAACAGAGCTACGTAAACAGAGCGAACAGGAGAGCACTCGTCTGCAGACGTCAATAATGGAATATACTCCCGATCAAACTCCGCTTCCCGAAAGTTATAAACTGCCTCTGGAACCTAGTTAAGGTACAAACATCTATTCAACAAAAATAGTGATGCAGTTAAGTGTTTTTTTCGCTCAGCCGAGCCCTCTCTGTTGCTGTGTGGAGCAGCCTGTGTCAGTCACCTCTTCCTGAACGTCGCTCACTCAACTCGCGCACTGCGGTCTCGTGAGGAACGCAGCTTTTTGACATACAGTATTTCTTGTTCCCGAACACAAATATTTTTTAAGTATTTGTTCGGAATAAGTATTCGTAAAAAACACATTATTTGTGCCTTTCCGAATACCGTATTCGGCTCCACCCCTAGTACACACTATATTTTGCATTGTTAATTTATTTAACAAATTTCTTTTTGTTAATGTTTTGCAGTCAAACTATACATATACTGTACACACTATAAATGTGTGTGTGTGTGTGTGTGTGTGTGTGTGTGTGCGTGTGCGTGCGTTTGTGTGTAAGCATGCTTTATGAAGTTAACATGAAAAAAATGGTTTGCTTTAGTGCAGAATAGTGGAGAAACAAAGCATTTCAAAATGGAAGTGTGCCAATAAGTGGTCTTCTACTGCCCTCTGCTGGCCACTTTTCTTATTAATAGTCTTTTCACTTGCTATATTGTGGTAAACCATCCTATAACATGGTATATCAAGGTAAACTATGGAAAATCATGTTAGATTCATGGTAAATCATACTAGAACATGGTAAATCATGAAAAACCACATTGAAATATGGTTTATCATGGTAAATAATGCTTGCTACATAAAACTTAATGTCTTTTGATGCTTTTGTGCTTAAAGGCCTTAAAGGCCTAAACTGCTTGAACCCCGCAAAATGCTGCTTGCAGCTTTAATTATTATTATTATTCTCCCCTAAAACGCATCGTGCAGCCCAAACCGTAAGGGCTAGAGCTCTGAAACTTTGTCAGATGGTAGTACAAAAATCGAGGAGAGGTTATCAAATTATGAGCCCGATTGGCCCATAGGTGGCGCTATAGCGACCAATTGCGCGAAACGGCTCATAACTCCTAGACCGTAAGTCGTACACTCAAGTGTCTTATATCATTGGAAAGCTGGTCACCTGACGAAAAAAACGTTTATCTCCGATTTCATTTCCGGTATGGAAATTTTTCCGCCATTTTGAATTTTGTCGAAAAACTACTTTTGCGAACTAGTCCCTGGTTTTTTGCCCGATCGGAACCAAACCAGTGCAGGAATGTTCTCTGGAGTCTGAAGATCAATAATTATCAAAAAAATGTTGAAAAAGTCTCTTTGCGGTCGCTAGGGGGCGCAAAATAAATGTTGTGGGAGGAGCCTATTTTACTAAAATGGCTATAACTCGAGAAGTAAATGAGATATCCTCAACAAACTCGGTACACATATGTATAAGCTCAATTTGAGGTCACAGTAAAAAAATCCCCACGATGGAACACTAGGTGGCGCTATAAAACGAATAAAACTAAAAAAGGGCTCTGACCAGCTGACCGTTAGTCCGATTGACTTGAAAATTGGTATGCAGTGTCTTTGTCCAAGGCCCCATGTATGTGTATGAGGACATTGGTGTATCTCAAAAAACATGGCCGCCATCGGCCAATGAAGTTTGAGCACCTATAAAACAAGGTTAACGAAGGCCGATCGGAACGAAACTCGTTGGGCATGTTTGACTCATGGCCCTAGAGGTCTGTAAGAATTTTGAAAGAAATCGGCCACTAGTTGGCGCTAACGAGTTTTATGGCTCTGTTATCACGTGGTGTTGCACACACCCCCACAATATGTATATCAATTGATAGATCTCCTCATGCTGAACAACTTTGCCTCAAGAACCATTGCTGTCAATCAAATCGTTCGTTAAATATTCACAAATATGTTAAAAACCTACTTTTGCGAACTAGTCCCTGGTTTTTTGCCCGATCGGAACCAGACCAGTCTGGGACAATTCTTTGGACTCTCTAGATCAATAATTATCAAAAAAAGTTGAACTTTGTCATTTGTTTTGCTATAACAGGGTCATTTAAAAAAGGGGGCATGACAAAATGCACCCAAAAGCCTATAAATCCTAAAGGAAAAGTCAGAACTTCACAAAAATTGATGAGCACATGTGTCATAACGTATTCAACAAGCATGCAAAGTTTCATGGAGATCGGACTATAGGTGGCGCTATAATTGTTAAAAATATTAAAAACAATGTATACCCTATAATAAATTGCCATTATTGAAACTTAAAACTTAATGTCTTTTGATGCTTTTGTGCTTAAAGGCCTTAAAGGCCTAAACTGCTTGAACCCCGCTAAATGCTGCTTGCAGCTTTAATTTTTATTATTATTATTATTCTCCCCTAAAACGCATCGTGCAGCCCAAACCGTAAGGGCTAGAGCTCTGAAACTTTGTCAGATGGTAGTACAAAAATCGAGGAGAGGTTATCAAATTATGAGCCCGATTGGCCCATAGGTGGCGCTATAACAACCAATTGCGCGAAACTGCTCATAACTCCTAGACCGTAAGTTGTACACTCAAGTGTCTTATATCATTGGAAAGCTATTCACCTGACGAAAAAAACGTATATCTCCGATTTCATTTCCGGTATGCAAATTTTTCCGCCATTTTGAATTTTGTTGAAAAACTACTTTTGCAAACTAGTCCCTGGTTTTTTACCCGATTGGAACCAAACCAGTGCAGAAATGTTCTCTGGAGTCTGAAGATCAATAATTATCAAAAAAAATGTTGAAATTTCTCGTTCCGGTCGCTAGGGGAAGCAAAATAAACGTTGTGGGAGGAGCCTATTTTACTAAAATGGCTATAACTCGAGAAGTAAATGAGATATCTTCACCAAACTCGGTACACATGTGTAAGAGTTCAATTTGAGGTCACAGTAAAAAAATAGCGACGATTGAACACTAGGTGGCGCTATAATATGAAAAAAAACATAAAAAGGGCTATGACCACATGACCGTTAGTCCGATTGACTTGAAAATTGGTATGCAGTGTCTTGGACCAAGGCCCCATGTATATCTATGAGGACATTGGCGTATCTAAAAAAACATGGCCGCCATCGGCCAATGAAGTTTGTGCATCTATGAAACAAGGTTAATGAAGGCCGATCGGAACGAAACTCGTTGGGCATGTTTTACTCATGGCCCTAGAGGTCTGTAAGAATTTTGAAAGAAATCGGCCACTAGTTGGCGCTAACGAGTTTTATGGCTCTGTTATCACGTGGTGTTGCACACACCCCCACAATATGTATATCAATTGATAGATCTCCTCACGCTGAACAACTTTGCCTCAAGAACCATTGCTGTCAATCAAATCGTTCGTTAAATTTTTACGAATATGTTAAAAACGTACTTTTGCGAACTAGTCCCTGGTTTTTTGCCGGATCGGAACCAGACCAGTCTAGGACAATTCTTTGGACACTCTAGATCAATAATTATCAAAAAAAGTTGAACTTTGTCATTTGTTTTGCTATAACAGAGTCATTAATAAAAGGGGGCATGACAAAATGCACCCAAAAGCCTATAAATCCTAAAGGAAAAGTCAGAACTTCACAAAAATTGATGAGCACATGTGTCATAACTTATTCAACAAGCATGCAAAGTTTCATGGAGATCGGACTATAGGTGGCGCTATAACTGTTAAAAATGTTAAAAACAATGTATTCCCTATGGTAAATTGCCATTATTGAAACTTAAAACTTAATGTCTTTTGATGCTTTTGTGCTTAAAGGCCTTAAAGGCCTAAACTGCTTGAACCCCGCTAAATGCTGCTTGCAGCTTTAATTTTTATTTATTTTTAATAGAATTTGCAACATTTAAAAAATCTTTACGGTCACTTGTGATACATTTTAAGGCGTCCTTGAAAAACAAAAACTAATTTCTTTCTTTAAAAAAAGAAGCAATTTTAAAAGTTAAAACACCCTCAGGGACAGAAACATATGATTAAACACACACACCTGATAGGATATTCGTCCTTCCTGTTGATGCATATGGCCTGACCCCGGCTGTACCATTTGTTGTCATAAAACAGACGTCCATCTTCTGATCGGGCAACATGATGGTGCCTTTCTGGTTTCAGAGGGGCTGATAAACACACACAGTTAAATCACCTCAGAGACTTGAAAAGCTTGTCCACGAATCACTTATAAGAGTCTTTACAGCTGATCCACGCCGATATAGAGAGAGAGTCAACTTTCTGTGCGATGCTTCACATGCAAAAACATGCTCAAAATCCTCCTTACCATCTACTTTTACCCTATGAGGACCCATTGAAGCCATAGCCTACAGAAAACAATGTAGTTGATCAATGCTAGAGATCTTCCAATAACTCACTTGCAAAAAAAAAAAATTAAATAAAACTGATTAAGGCGAAAAATAAAACCTTTCTTATTGCAGTCCAGTCTTCAAGTATATCCAGGTCTTGCAACATGTAAACAATGTATGGTCGTGGGACGGATCAGGAAACTAATGTCTTCTTTTGCATTATAGAATATATATATATATATATATATATATATATACATAATATATAATATTATAATATATAATAAGGCTGCTGCCATAAACAAATACTATAAAAAGACGCACACACGACTACTTTACAAAGGATATCTGACACAGCGACAGGTTTTTTCTTCTTTCCGGGACTGAGAGGATCTTTCTTTTTATTCTTCTTAGACTGCAGACCATCATTCCACAGTTCTGGAGCAAGAACACATCAATGCAGGGAAAAGGTAAAACGTCACATTGAAATTCACAGGTTACACAGTACCAGTTACAATCTGTACTTTACCTGAAGTTATATCTATACTGTGTCTGTCCTCCTCCAATCGCCTGATCTTCTCTTCCAGTTCGCTCTGAACCGTGTCAAAAAGCAGGAGCTTCTCACTCTGAGGAAAAACATCATGAACGTTGGTAAATTATCTCAGTAACAAATTCAACATAAAAGCCCCAATATACTCATGGCGAAGTCCTTTTCAATTCTTTGCTTTGAGGTAAAAAGAAGCGATTTACTGTTAGCGAACATCCCAATGTCTTCCACGCAGATGAAAGTAGATGAATATATAAATATATGTTGCTTGCTTTCCTTTCATTAATAAAAAAAGTGTCAGCAGTGAGAAAACAAAAGTTAAGAAAGCACCAGATCTGTTGAAATGCCTTGCAATTCAGCGCTCGAGTAAAGTCAGTCAAATTTATTTTTATATACACCACTTTATACTAAAGATTGTTTAAAATCAAGCAGCTTTACATTATTAAACATAAAAAACAGCGTTAGTGTCTGTAATTAGAATTGCAACTTTATTTTCTGCTTCAAAACAGCTCCCCAGTGTGTTCATGCTTTTACTCGTGGATGTCTGACCTCGACGGACTCAACTGAAGATGATTTCCATGTCAAAAAAGGCGGAGCCTCAGAGCCACACCTACCTATGACATAATCACCATGGACTAATGGAAGTTCGAAGAATTAATGAATAATTTTATTTCTTTTCATTTCCTTTTCCTCTTCAGAACATGGTCATTGATAACAGAGCATATTAAAACAAAAAATAATAAAAACAAAATCTCAGCATGTTCAAAAGAGAAGAAAAAGAATATAGAAAGGAAGAAGCTAACTTATGTTTACCTTCCCAATTTACAAATCTGGATTTGAAACGGCTACTGTTTTCTCTTTACAAAATATCATAATTTATCCTTTTTGAGAAACAACAACAAAAAAAACTTAATCATTTGCAGTACATTTTATCTAAAAATAAGTCACACAATACAATTATAATGTAAAAAAAAAACAAAACAAAAAAAACACAAAATGTAATACTGACAATGAATATTAAAGGAATGGCAAGAAGTTTACCAGCAGGAGCGAATCTTTCCAGAACTCCCAAAACGAACTTAATTTTGCCTGATTTTGTTTGAATGACATCACACTAGTACGTTCTTCGATTTCTCATGAAGGATATCGGGGTCTTTAGGCTGCGAGTATATTAGTAGCAGGGCTGTCTTCAAAGAGAAGATAACTGGGAATGTTGTAGTGGTGTAGCCTACACTCTGGACCCGTTTAAACTTGGTATTTTGCGTTTTCATATCAGATCACAAGTGGATGACGTTAAACAGGTGTAAACAGGCTCTGAAATGTTTGGATTTGGATTGCTTGTAGACACTCATAGGGTCGAATGCGTTTGAACTGACACAAAAGGCCGCCTACTGACCTAATGCGTAAACATCATGGGAAGCGCACAAGCCCGACGAGCAACGTACCAAGCACAATGTTCTCTCACCATTCCTGATTTCTAACACACACTCACAGATTGGGGTGTTCTTGTGGCTATTCTCGAAAGCTGCGGTTCTAAGTATGTTTTTCCGTTATTTACTTACTTTTGTCCATTAGATCGAAAGATCAGAAAAAAAAAACATAAATTTACCCTCCCCTTGAAGAAATCAGGACAGAAGGGGTTGAAAGTGGACAAGAGTGACAGATTGAAACACCAGGTGTAAATGGTAATGTGTCTCCTTCATCCACTCGTGATCTTATCGACCAAAACACATCGTAATACCAGTAATCCATCGTATAATATTACCAGGAAGAGTGGGGGAACCACAAATTTGATGTATTTAAGCCCATTCCCATGCCTGTGTGTTACCTCCCAGTGCTGGCTGGCTGCTTGCATCTCACAGTCATATTTGTTTCTGACAGATTCCAAGCAGAGCTCACGATAGATACCTGCACAAATACAGATGAGCAAAAGGTGACTAAGGCTATTATAAAATAAGCATCAGTAAATCAGACCACAGACTGGTAATTATAGGAAGAGGAAGTAATCGAATTCATAATATATACTTGCTTAAATGCACTACTGTGTTTTGGACCTGAAACAAAGCTCTGGATTGTAGGCTATTAACATCACTTCTCTGGCACTTTTGCGTAAACATTGTTAGTGTCCCTTACCATGTTTTACCATCAATTTTGTTTAAACTTTGCACACACGTCAGAACCGTCGGCTATCAGGGGGGTTGTGGGGGGTCTGCTGCGGACCCTTTTATGTGGTCATTTTTAGGGCCTGTAGCGCACCGCTTTTCACATACATCAACAATTTCAAGCACTTATATTATCATCAAGCCAAACAACTTTCACGCTCATAGTCATATGTCAGCCCAACAGGAAGTCGGCTATTCTGTTTTTTTTTTTTTTTTGAAAAACGCATGCTCTGAAATTTGATAGACTTCTAGGCAATTAATTCGATCGCCACCAAACTCGGCCAGCATGGAGCCAAGACATTATGGATGCTAAATTGCAGACGGAATCACCCAATTTGCGAGGCCTTGTCTTTTTATAAGTTTGAATAAAAAAAAAAAAGGCAAGAACTGGTTTATTTGTAGTTCACTGACAACAATATATCTAAATATATATATATATATATATAAAAAAAACTTATAAATACTTCTGGACTTTTTGGAATTTTGAGCTGCAAATGATAATTTCTCACTCATTTAAAAAGTGACCTATAACATCCTGACTTTATATTCATGTAAATTGAAATGATCTCTCATGGATGCGGCTGTTGTGGTTCATGGTTATAGTGGCACCAGCTGCTGCAGTAAATGTGGCATCTTCAAACGATTTTTACACAGTTCTTTTACATTTACCTCCTTCAAATGCACATTGGTTGCAGTGCAGAGGCTTGGGCCCATCATCGCTGCTTGCAGCTATATTCTGTTTTTGAATTTTGTCAAATTAAAAAAAGAAAAAAAAACAGTACCGTTCAAAGGTTTAGGAACAGGAATAGAATTAATATTTTACTAAATTAATAAAATGTGTAATATTAATAAATTAAAAAAAGATATTATTAATGTATTAATATAAATAAATTAATATAAATATCTTTATAAATTATAAAGATATTTATTACGCAACAATGGTGTTCTTTTTAAATTCTCATCATCAGAAAACCAGAAAAAAAGTTATCACCATTTCCACAAAATTTCTTATGATACCCACCTGTTTTCAACATTGATAATAATCTGAAAGGTTTCTTGAGCATCAAATCATCATATTAGATCAGAACATCCGAATATATTCAAATAGAAAACTGTTATTTTATATTGTAATAATATTTCACAATATTACCGTTTTACAATCAAATAAATGCTGCCTTAGTGAGCATAAGAGATTTCTTTTTTATTATCCTATCGACCCCAAACTTGTGTTTTGAACGATGAAGAAGTAGATGGAAAATGTAGATGGAAAATACGTAATCCTTTATTTTTTCAAATGACTTTAAAATGATGGTAATTATAGGCCAGGCATTAAATGCAGTCCTGAAATAGGTTAAAGACCTTTGCTTTACAGTAAAATTTATCAAACATTGGCATGATCATTGTAATTCCTGTAAACTACATTAGCTGTATCATGTGTGTATATATTAGGGTGTCGTGACCAACAGTCCTCTTTTCCCAGGACATGTCCTGTTTTCACATCCTGCCCTGGCTGTTTTTTATAAAGTGATGAAAATGTCCTGTTTTTTAAAAAAAAAATTCTGGGAAAGATCAGCTCTACAGCAAAATATAGATGGGTGAACAAGGAGGATGAGGAAGAAAAACAGGATAAAGAGGAAGAAAACTGAAGATGTACATATATTTTGTTAGTTCGTTTTGTAAGTTTGTGAGAGCTATTTTTGGTATTTCTTTTAGTTATTTATAGATTTTTTTTCTAACACAGAAGAGACATTATGTCTATCATTATGTCATTCATTATTTTTGAAACCTGTCATAATAAAACATGTTGAGTAACCTCAGAGGAATTTGTGTTTTGTAATATTATCATTTTCTATCCATACAGAGGAGGCATAGCCTACATTAAACGTATTGAAATTAATAAGGCATCTCTGAGTAAACTTCGAGTATCATTTGAGTAGGCCTATCTGTTTGCTGGGCCGAGTGTTCTGGTTTTTGGTAATCAAAATATGGCCACCCAGAAGAATGTATATAACCCTAGTATAAACTGACCAGCGACTTTGGTTCGGATCTGCATGTTCTCCTGCAGGGTGGCCAAGGGTTCGAGGTATTCTCCAGCATTGCCAGCCATCACTTCTTGCAATTTAATATCCATCTGACCGAGCCTCTCCTTATACAACCTACAGAGAGTTCAGAACACAACGGCTGGAGTCTTCACCTGGACATATTTATGCGTTAGGCTTATATGATGTGCTGCTCATCATCACTTACTGATCCTTTAGGTCTGTGAACTGCTTCTCGAGAGTTGTCATCTCATCTAAACACTCCATTCGCCTTCTTTCACAGTCTTCATCATCCATGTCTGCAAGAAATTAACCATTCCCTTTATCTGTAGCATGTCTCTTTCTCGCGCATGAAATGATTCTGGTGTTTGTCATGAAGTCTCTGTCTGTGGCGTTACCTGAAGTGTCCCCATCCTCAGAGACGGACGAGCTCACGGACTCCTCTTCGTCGGAGGTGCTGGCCTCTTGTTCTGGATAGTCCACGTCCATTTCTTCGTGGTTATTCTCTTTTCTATCACGTGGATGCACTGGCATCCTATATTAAATGTTTAATACAGTAAACAACCCACTAAGACGAAGAAGACAACACCACCGGGCCAGCGAACAAAATCCACGTTTCAAACATGGATTCGTGGACGACTAATCAGCAAGCTGCTAGACACGTGATCTCACAGAATCTGCGAATTCATTGGACAGATTTTGTTTACGCATGACCCGGTGGATGGTGGGATCTGTAGTACTCCATTATGTTTTCATTTTATATACTTTATTGGAATGATTGCCATTAGTAAACACACACATATATAATTTAGTAGAGATGGCAGATATCCATTTTCCTTCAGGTGACAATGATGTATATATTTAAACATGTTTAATAATATAATAACAATAAACTTTATTTTATATAGCGCCTTTAAAAAGTATCTCAAAGCACTTCACAAGAATAGAAACACAATAAAACATAGATTTAAACATACAAACAATTCATTACTGACAGAAAAATTTAATAAAATACAAAATAAAAACATGAAATATAGGATTAATAAGACAATTTTAAACAATTATGTAAAAACTACCCCAAACACATAAGTTTTGGAATAGTTAAAAAGTTTTCCACAGTTAATGGGACCAGCTTCCAAAGAAGATCAGTTAGATAATGAGGTGTCAGACAGTCCATGCAAGGCCTTATCAACACGGAATCTGACAGGGAGCCAGTGTACTGGAGTAATATGATCCCTTGTCCTATTTCCAGACAGAATTTGAGCGGCATTTTGTACCAACACTCGTTTATTGAGGCTAGCTTTTGAAACCCCAGCCAACAAAGCATTACAGTAATCGATACATGGAAAAATAAAAATAAAAATGTTAATTAGCGTTTCAGCCACTGGGAGTGACAACATGGAGGCAATCTGGCTATGTTTTTTGAGATGAAAAATCAAGTCCTGACAGTGCTCTGAACATGAGGAACAAATGTCAACTTGTTAACAAATATCACCCCCAGATTTTTTTTTAGTCTGAAATTGAGAAGTACAACCTTCTACACTAAAAGTGGGAGAACCAGCCTTCTGTAGCTGGTGAGGTGAACCAATGAGCATTACTTCCGTCTTGTCACTGTTCAGACATAAAAAAAAAAAAAATCTAGACGTCCATTCTTTTGTCTCAGAAATACAAAAGGAAAGATGAGACACAGCCACTTACATCAGGTTTTGAATGTATATAAACCTGGGTGTCATCTGTATAAAAGTGAAAACTGAGTCCAAGTGATCTTAAAAGTTGGCCAAGAGTATAAACGTATGTTAAAAAGTATAGGGCCCAGGATGGAACCTTGAGGGACACCAGAATGCACTACACCAATAGCAGACCTGAAACCACCCATAGCAACAAACTGCTTTCTATCAGAAAGATAGCACCTAAACCAGCTTAGTGCGGTATCAGAAACGCCAAAAACAAATTCTAGCCTAGCAAGTAAAGTATTATGATCAACAGTGTCGAAAGCGGCACTAAGGTTAAGAAGAATCAAAATAGAGAGACTGCCGGAATCAGTGCTGTGTAGTTTACTGAATCCCCAATTGTAGAGGCTCATTGAGATTATTTGCAGCTACAGTAGATGGGAGTGCAATTGAATAGCAACAATTTGATCTGGCTGATGCAATTTAGGTCTTATATTCAAGTAAATGATCTTTCCATGCCTGGTGAAAGACAGTCAAGCCAGACATCCACCATGCACCTACGCTCCATTGTACGACAGGATGTCTTCATAGCACGCAGGTTATCATTGTACCAAGGAGAGGGTCAACCAAAGGAAACCAGACGTGATTTCAAAGGCGCAAATAAGTCAAGGTCAGACGAGAGAACAGAATTTAACATGAGAACAATAGCAACACTAACAAAAGAGTTTAAAACAATAACACATCAAGCATCCTGATGTGAATGTGGCTTAAAGTCGGCATGAAATGAAGTTGCAATAATGTTTTCTTTTCTATTGGGACCCATGTGTGTCTGGTGTCAGTTTTGGACCCTATGAAATATGAGGTTGTGCTCACACTCATTCCATTAATAAAATCGATCTATGGGGCCCCAAAGGTGCATGGGCCCTTAGAATCATCCTAACTTTCACCTCATTAGGGTTGGCAAGTGAAGCGACTTCTCGAACAAGAAAAAATATTGATTTGTTCAATGAATTGATTGTGGTTTTTTCAGCCCTGGAGGAAGAAACGTGTGTCTGGAAGAAACTTGACTCTCAACCCACAGAGGGCGCTGTCTGCAAACATATTGTATTCACGTTTATTGGCATTCCTTACATTGAAACAAATGAGACTGAGGCTGAGGGTTTATTTCATTTCAGTCACCATTAATAGCGCACTGCAGAGTAGACATCATAAACGGGCATTTTAAAGATCCAATGAAATCACTCATTCATTCAGAATATAGCATGAAGCCCTCTTTCTTTTCTATTTCCTGTTTTGAGTTGTTTTTTTTTTGTCTCAGAGAAGCCCAACATCCTTAAACATTCATTTTGAATAAAAGTTCAAGAAGATGCTACAATTAGTTGGCCTCCACAATCCCTGAAACAGTTTGAGCAATCAAGTTTTATTTGTTAGATCAGTAGCCTATATTTTCAATTGATGAAATGAATCCTGAAAGTGCATCTTTTAAAAGCTATCGAATAGATGCATTTTTGCATCATTTAAAAAAAAAAAAATCTCAAAAGATTGTTAGTTTGAAGATTTCCACATATTTGGGATAAAATGTCTTCCCAAAGTGCTTCATCTTCAGGTAAGAAAAATGAAATTAAAGATAGAGGTCTGAAGTCGATAGAGCACAAATGAAAAATATTTGTTTCATTATATACACTTGATTAGAATACATGTAAAGAGCCATTTTGACTCCAAGGCCTACCAGTGTACAACACAATTAGCTTATACAAAGGCAGGCGGCTATGAAATTTCTTCTGTGTGGTTTTTTTTTTTTTTTTTTTCTGATATATTATATTATATTTATTGGCTCCATGGATGAGAAGCACTGATCTAATGTTAAATGTTCCCAGTAGTTGGCACTGGCGTCCCGCTTTACTCTGTAGTAAACTCTAGGCAATATCACCTGTCCAGCCATCAGACTGATTCGAGGTCTTCATGCTCACCTTGCATGTTTATGATGAAGGACTCCTCTTATGTGTATGCCATCTCAGGTAAGACAAGAACTCTACAGCATTCAGTTACTGTACTTCAGTCCCTTCATACATCATGCTGTAGGCCTACATGCATGATTGTTTATTGTTGTTTTTCCTCAGGCGGATGCTGCTCTCTTCAGCCTAAGGATCAAACTGTGCCCGTACTGGAGAGTGAGAGCGAGTCGATGTGAGCGCAAATGCATCAAGCATTCTATAATGTTGTACTTTTGTGTGTTTGGTGAACACAAACTCTTTTGCTCTTGAAACTTGGTGAACTGATGTTAATATCATGTCAATGCATCTTCAGCAGCTCAGAGGAGAGTGTTCTCAGCAGAGGCATCTTCAGTTGTTGCAAACCCCAAAGAAACAGAGAGTAGGGCGGACAAACAGCCTGAGATGTGTTGCAGTGAAATTCACTTGGATATATCTGTACATGAATATATTAAAAGTCGAAATTGAACACGTTTTACCTTGCCGACTGCAGATGATAACGTGTGATAAGAGTGATAACACACATTAAATAATATTTACTTTAGGCACCTGCATAGGTGTCATGGAGGGAAATATAAAATATAATTAAAATATCTAAAATGATATTTTAAATAATAAATGTTAACTGAAATCAAATCAAATATCATTTGCCAAGGCAACATTTCTAATTTTAATTTAGTTTAACTTGATGAACTTGAAATAACTAAAACAAAAATGAATAAAAGCCTCCCATGTTGAAAATAAAGCTTTTAATGTTGTTTATATTTCTATGTGGTGTTTTTAATATGCTTTAAGACAAATCATGTGTAAATTCATAAGTCAAACTCATTGCTGACTATATTTCTTCTTAAATCTGAAGAGAACAAAAGACAAAAACACGGTTTGAAATCGCTGGTGTTTCTGATGTCACAAATCTGGTAACCAATCAGGTCAGCATGTGATCGTTAAAGAGTTGAGCTGGTGTGATTGAGTTGAGGAGGGGCTAATTTGCATATTCATCGATCCGTGTATATTAAATGAGGCAAGGGTGTAGCGTTACATTCAAGTTACATCAAGGCATGACGAACTCTTTTCACGAAAAAAACCAACAAAAAAACGTTTAAATATGTAATTTCTGTATTCAAAAATGAGTTTTAAGGGTTAAAATTATACTGGGGGACTTAAAGGGTTAGTTCACCCAAAAATGAAAATGAAGTCATTAATTACTCACCCCCATGCTGTTCCAACCCCGTAAGACCTTCGTTCATCTTCGGAACACAAATAAAGATGTTTTTGATTGAATCTGAGAGCTGGATCAGTCCTACATAGACTGCCTAAGGGACTGGCACTTGACGGCCCATAAAGTCATTAAAGAAAAGGTTTAAATAGTCCATGTGACTACAGTGGCTCAATTATAAGTTTATCAAGCGACGAGACTACTTTTTGTGCGAAAAAAACATAAATAACGACTTTATTCGACTATTCCATTACTTCCTTATGGGCGCATGCGCGAGAACTGAGATGAGGACGTTCTCATTCGACTACTTCTTGTTACCGGCTGCTCACCGCTTAGGAGTTTTACCGCCCCCTAACGTATAAAACAACAAAATGTTACTCAAAATGTTATGACATTTTGAGTATAACCTTGTAAAAATTAGAGCATTAGCTAATTAATTTATATTAGTTTACTTATTTTATTACACATGCACTATCTAAAACTAATTTCAGTCCCCAAACAGGCTGTAACATTATGCACACACAATTCTTTTTATTGTATTTGTACTGTATATAGTTTTATGTAAATTGTAGAATTACTATAGTAAACATTAATTTTTTTATTATGTTGCATGGAACAAATGTTGTCAAAGGGATTTCTGATTCTCAGTTCTACGTGTAGAGAGTGAGACCCTGGGAATGGAAACCCACTTCGTGATCTTTCCACAATACATCATTTACTGTATAATCATAACAGTTGACATATGTGAAGCCTTTTGTATCATATAGTAGGTTAATCATAAGATCTGTTCTT